CCATCTTTTGCACTAACTGTACAACTAAATTCCCTTTCTCGCACTAACTTTATGACTAAATTCCCTCTCTCGCACTAACTGTAAACTAAATTCCCTCTCTCGCACTAACAGTACAATTGAATTCCCTCTCTCGCACTAACTGTACAACTAAAATTCCTCATGAGCACAAACTGCACAACTGAAATCCCCCTCTCTCACAAACTATACAACTTAATTCCCTCTCTCGCACTAACTGTAAACTAAATTCCCTCTCTTGCACTTACTGAAAACTAAATTCCCTCTCTCGCATTAACTGTACAACTAAAATCTCTCATTAGCACAAACTGTACAACTAAATTCCCTCTCTCGCACTAACTGTACAACCTAATTTCCTCTCTCGCACTAACTGTATAACTAAATTCCCTTTATCGCACTAACTGTACAACTTAATGTCCTCATTAGCACAAACTGTAAACTGAATTCCTTTCTCGCACTAAGTGTGCAACTAAATTCACTCTCTCGCACTAACCGTACAACTTAATTCCCTTTCTCGCACTAACTGTACAACTAAATTCCCTCTCTCGCCCTAGCTGTACAACTAACCTCCTCTCTCGCACTAGCTGTACAACTAAATTCCCTCTCTCGTCCTAGGGGTCCAACTAAATTCCCTCTCACGCTCTAGCTGTACAAATAAATTCCTCCCTCGCACTAACAGTACAACTAAATTTCCTCTCTCGCACTAACTGCAAACTTAATTCCCTCTCTCGCACTAACTCTACAACTAAATTCCCTCTCTCGCACTAACAGTACAATTGAATTCCCTCTGTCGCACTAACTGTACAACTAAAATTCCTCATGAGCACAAACTGCACAACTGAAATCCCCCTCTCTCACAAACTGTACAACTTAATTCCCTCTCTCGCACTAACTGTAAACTAAATTCCCTCTCTCGCACTTACTGAAAACTAAATTCCCTCTCTCGCACTAATTGTACAACTAAAATCTCTCATTAGCACAAACTGTACAACTAAATTCCCTCTCTCGCACTAACTGTACAACTAAATTCCCTCTCTCGCATTAACAGTACAATTGAATTCCCTCTCTCGCACTAACTGTACAACTAAAATTCCTCATGAGCACAAACTGCACAACTGAAATCCCCCTCTCTCACAAACTGTACAACTTAATTCCCTCTCTCGCACTAACTGTAAGCTAAATTCCCTCTCTCGCACTAACTGAAAACTAAATTCCCTCTCTCGCACTAACTGTACAACTTAATTTCCTCTCTCTCGCACTAACTGTACAACTAAAATCTCTCATTAGCACAAACTGTACAACTAAAATTCCTCTCTCGCACTAACTGTACAACTTAATTCCCCCTCTCGCACTAACTGTAAACTAAATTCCCTCTCTCGCACTAACTGTACAACTAAATTACCTCTCTCGCACTAACAGTACAATTGAATTCCCTCTCTCACACTAACTGTACAACTTAATTTCCTCTCTCTCGCACTAACTGTATAACTTAATTCCATCTCTCGCACTAACTGTACAACTAAAATCTCTCATTAGCACAAACTGTACAACTAAAATTCCTCTTTCGCACTAAGTGTACAACTTAATTCCCCCTCTCGCACTAACTGTAAACTAAATTCCCTCTCTCACACAAACAGTACAACTAAATTCCCTCTCTCGCACTAACTGTACAATTTAATTCCCTCCCTCGCACTAACAGTACAATTGAATTCCCTCTGTCGCACTAACTGTACAACTAAAATTCCTCATGAGCACAAACTGCACAACTGAAATTCCATCTCTCGCACTAACTGTACAACTAAAATCTCTCATTAGCACAAACTGTACAACTAAATTCCCTCTCTCGCCCTAGCTGTACAACTAACCTCCTCTCTCGCACTAGCTGTACAACTAAATTCCCTCTCTCGTCCTAGCTGTACAACTAAATTCCCTCTCTCGCCCTAGGTGTCCAACTAAATTCCCTCTCACGCTCTAGCTGTACAACTAAATTCCTCTCCAGCACTAACTGTACAAATAAATTCCTCCCTCGCACTAACTGTACAACTAAATTCCTCTCTCGCACATACTGTACAACTAAAGTTCCCTATCTCGCACTAACTGTACAACTGAATTCTACCTGGAACATTAGATGGCAAAATTCCCTTGGTGTGTCAGCTAAGACAAAGTGATGCAGATTTTTTACATGTTTGCAACTTTGATGAAACCCCCGAGCACGGGTAAGGTGCTGACAAACGGAAATACATAATCAGGGCGAACCGAGAATCGAGCCCACGATCATATAACCTATGGGCCAACGAAACGCCACCAAATAAACAATGGTCGTCAGTTTTCAACAAATTTGCCAAACAGCATGAAAACAGTTGGGAACACATAGCTTGAATGCAACTGACCTATTCCGTGTGAACATGTGCACGTGTTCACGTGATGTGCGAGAAAAGTGAATTTAACCACTAAAAAATGCAAGTGTGCATGCGCACAGTTACCAGTGTGAAATTCTGGTATAAAACATGAGCAGGATTGTACTCTCTCATCACATGAAACCTTTTAAAACAACGAACATGCCTCGACTAACAGCAGAGCAGAGGGAGAGAGCCATGTTGCAAATGGGAGCGGAAGTGGCAGCAGAGAAATTGGCGAAGAGTGCTCTTCAGCGACGAGAGTTGGTGCCAGCTCGTCAAGTCTGATAGGCGGGTGTGAATCTACCGACGACGTGGTGCACGTGGACGCACGTTGTTGCGTCCAAGAAGTTGAGCCTTATGGAGGTGGTAGTGTCATGGTCTGGGGTGGTATCTACGGGGACCAGAAGACAGATCTGGTCATCATCGAGGGAAATCCCACTGCACGTCGTTACATTGATGAGGTGTTGCGGCCTCTGGAACTGCCTTTCCTGCAACGACACCCACGGACGCTGTTAAAGCAGGACAGCGCCACCCCTCACACAGCTCGAGTCACAAGCGACTTTCTGAACGCCAACAACGTGACCGTATTACAGTGGCCATCCAGACCACCGTACCTGTCGCCCATAGAGCTCATCTGGGACCAACTTGGACGCAGGAGTCGGAAACGTCCACTGCTGCCATTGACAAGGATGCCTTGGCAATTGCCCTGCAGGAGGAATGACGTAGGATCCCTCATCAGGATGTGAGGAGACTCGTGTACTCAGTTCGACGTCGTGTTTGGGTCTGCATCGTTACTGGAGGGGTCACATGCGATACTGAGCCATGTGTGTAGCACAGGACTTTAAAAGAGATCGACGTCGATTCTGCGGGTGTGATCTAATACTGGACAGTGCACCCAGCATGATAAACGTGTCTACCCAACCTGTACATGTTTTTTTTTATCAAATTATTTTCAAATACCGTTTTTGAATAATTGATTTTTATAGTAAAACATCAACTGCTACTAAACTTTGCGTGTGTTTTGTTTTCGACCAGAAATGTGTTTGGTGGCACTTCTTTTTGCCCGTTAGTTTATTGTGTACGCCTTAGCAACACAACTCCACACTGACAACGACAACTAGCAAAACCTGTTTCGCCTTTCCACGTATTGTGCAAATTCTAGGTAGTGATCAATACGTCAGCATCACACCGTCGATGTCTTTGCAGGGAAATTGAAAAGTTGAGTTTGAGAAAAATTATTATTTTATGACTCAACTCAGATGCGCTATCGATCCGCGAGGATTCCAGGTAAGAGCGTAGATTCCCAACAACCAAGCTTTATAACGGGATCGGATGGCCAGGCTATCTGACTCAGCAGATGCATGTCATCTTACCCAATTTCGACAATCGATATAGCCTCGGAATTGTTCCATTTTTATCAACTCGTGTTGATATATTTGATATCAAAAGACACTCAGGTGAGCTTCTCTATATACATAAAGTGGAACACTAAGAGAACTGTCCAGAATGAAGAACCCCAGGACATATCGGAGAAATCTTGCATGCATATAATGTAAATTTGGATAAAAATATTTTGATTAGTTTATTAAGAACTCAAATAAAACTTAGCAATATAGCAGTTGATAAGTATAATATCAATTATATTTGTCACGTCAGAGCTTAAAATTACTTTCACGCACGTAGCACAACAACATCGGTGCTTGTGTCACTGGCACTACGTAGGCAAACTTCGTCGGTCCAATTGAGTTTAAAGTGACAACTGGTAAGTATGGCCTATGACAGTAATGCTTATGTGCTTGAACAAACAAGATTACCTGCAATGTATTTTCTCTTTCAATTGCGTTTTTATTTGCGTGCGCACTTAACCTTTAACGAGGAGCATATTGTCCAAATTCTTTGTACACCTATGGTCTACCTGCTTATATTTATATTTCGAAATTGAATGTTTCTTTTTATATTCAATTATTTACATTAAATGTATTACATTTAAAATGCACGACAATGGATTGCCGCTTGCGCATGCGTAATCAATAAGAACAGCCAAAGCGGTGAGCGGTGTACACATGTTGCAAATTGATTCATGAATGACACAGTATTCATTTGTAACAAATTAGAGATGTAGCAGAAAGCAAAAAGGGGCATACAATTTAGGGCGGAATTTGAATTTAATCATTATCAATGTGACACTTTGGAAAAAGTTCGTAATATGCATGTACCTATACTCTGTTTATAGTGAATAGTTAAACATAGGCATACTTAGGTTTTGTTATAGTAAGAAATCTGCACATTTCTGTTTCAAATACTGGACACGTAAAACGATTGCAGAATTCATATCTAATGTCTTGTTTGCACAAACATAACTGAATAAATATAAAAGTTTCGACAGGAAGGTAAAAACATCTCGCAAACTGACATTGTCTCCAGACAGAAGCAAATGTCTTACGAGATGGGACAGATACATACACTTAATACGATAGAAGCGTCTGTCTTTTTCAGCGTGCATGTCGACAACAAATAAAAAACTACGTACAATTATTCAAAAATCTAAAAATATTCGATACAAATATATATATATTGATTTCTTACCAATGATGAACATCACACTGTAAACTGAGAGAGCGTTCATTTTGTAGTTCGCCACCAACGGTCTGCCTACGGTTTTGACAAGGCACCAACAATCCTAAGCGGTTTTATATATGCCGTGACGTCATTCTAAGATTCTCAGAAAAACCTGTATCGAGGGGAGATGATCACGCAAACATGAACAGCTCGAACAGTTCAATCCTATCCAAACAGTAAATTTCTGAGAAAAACCTGTTTCGAGAGAAAATGATCACGGAAACATCATCAGCAACATGAATCGATATACTGAACGCATCCTCCCCCTCCCCCCCCCCCCTCCCCCCCTCCCCCCCTCCCCCTCCCCCTCCCCCCCCCCCCCCCCCCCCCCTCCCGCCCGACCCCCCTACCCCCATCCCAACCCATTACCCACCTCTCTAATAACTGGCGTTTAAGATTGATTTTCAGGTTCCATCAACTGATTCCTGCTTGACAGGTAACAATCATCCAATGGCTTACAAAGTGTGTGTTTGTGTGTGTTTGGGGTGGGGGTTGGAGCCCTTGGGGGGAGGGTGTAGGTGTGATTTTGGGTTTAAGGTGTGTTAAGGGGTCTCGTTGTGTTTGTGTTTTTGTTTTTTGTTGGTATTGTTTTACGCCGCACTCAGCAATATTCCAGCTATATGACGGTGATGGGTGTCGTTGAGGGAGGAAGGATGCTATATAATTCAAACATCGGAAGATGAGGTGTGGTGAAGATGGGTTTAAACCCTTTAGAACAAGTACCACCTTTAATCCTATTTTTGCATGATGGCAGGGGATCAAAACCCCGATCATCCTTTTTTCAGGAAGACGCATGACCACGTAGGCGGTCTCATACATGCGGAAACTTGTCACTTGTACTTTTAGTATTGATTGCAATTGTATCATAACACTTTAACTAACAAATGTGTTTCAACAACATAACACGATAGCTGTTGTAAAGAAAATATTGAAATCACAAACAAGCTGTGCCTGACAACAGGGACTACTTCGCCATTGCTTCAGCCACAAAATAAGAATAAATTATGGAATTATACACATGGTGTCTATACATCGACATATATGGATGTATTGTATGTGCAAGCATTCTGTCTAACATATTGCATGGCAACAATATACACAAATGTTCCAAAGTAGCAGATCAATGAGGCGACTTCCAGGAAGAGGACAGTTAACTGGAAAAATGGTTGTAATGCTGTAATCAATGTCGGCGTCTGCTGACCGTGTGACTCATCTTGTGTGTGTTTGTGTTTGTGTGTTTGTGTGTATGTGCGTGTGTGTGTATGTATGTGTGTGTGTGAGGGGGGGGGGGGGGGGGGGGGGGAACTTATTTGATATTTGATAGCCAATACATTACCACTTCATTACCAGTTACATATTAACTTATAAAACTAGAGTGAGTGAGTATGGGTTAACGACGCTTTTAGTAATATTCCAACAATATCACGGCGGGAGACACCAGACATTGTACCCATGTTGGGACTCGAACCTGGGGCTTCAGGGTGTGACGAGCGAACGCTTTAACCACTACGCTACCCGACCGCCCCTATAAAACTGGAAACAATTTAAGAAAACGCGAAATGAAGTAGCGTGACGGAAATAATTAACTACACGTGTGTGTGTGTGTGTGTGTGTGTGTGTGTGTGTGTGCGTGTGTGTGTGTGTGTCTGCCTGCCTGTCTGTGTGAGTGTGTGTGTGAGCGAATGTGTGTGCGTGTGTATCTGTCTGTATGTGTCTGAGTGTCTTTGTGTGAGAGTGTCGTGTTTGTGAGTACGTAATAATTGTGTTGCGCCATCAGGAAAGACGGTGGGTTGGATAAAGGTTCTGCCCTGAGAGCGGGAGGTCGAGGGTCTGATCCCCTGGCCACCACCTTAAAGTGGAATCAGGTGGTCCATATGGCTGCTTGAAGGTTCTTGGCAAACCATCAGCTGTGACGTAGGTGGTCTTCGAACCGCTATGGTTTGGTGCATCTCTAACGCTACTGGTTCCGCTGCTCCGGAACCACCCATACCTTAATCATCTTACAACAACAAAAAACAAATTTTCCATGACACTGATCTTACAAGCACGGACATGGTGCTAACAAACATAGGATCATAATATAAAGCCACTCTGAATACCAGATAGTATGCCCACGATATTGAATTATTTCTAGGCGGCGCTGATGCCTTCCTGAACGAAGCCATAAACACGTTAAACAAGTTTTAGAAAATGCCTGGACTAAACATAAATATCGATGAAATTAAGGCAATATGGATAGGATCAATGGCAACGAAATGCCAATCAAGATTTAAATTTAGCCTGACATAATGGTGATGTTGAAGTATGACACTACTTCATTATGAAATAATCACAAGAATTCTTTCAATTTGAAGAAAACGAAACCTCACTTTAGTTGGCAAAATTACTGTAATTAAAACATGGGCTTTCTCAACACTAGTTCATTACCAATACCTCTCCCAAACCCTCCTGAAGATACTTTTTACCAAACTTAAAACAATGCATGATATAAGGGTACTATACCATATTACAATCGATTGAACCTAAATTTACCTAAATCATGGAGAACTATTTTTATCAACACTTTATCACTTAACATAAGCAACCCATCTGTGACTTACTTAAATCAGGTAAAGGTTCTAGATAATCGTATTACTTCAGTAAATCCATCAGCAGTGTGCGAGTGAGTGAGTAAGTATGGTTTCACGCCGCTTTTAGCAATATTCCAGCAATATCACGGCGGGGGACACCAAAAATGGGCTTCACACATTGTACCCATGTCGGGAATCGA